TGATTACAGGACCGTGGAAGCCACATGGTTCTGGTTAGATGCTTTTCTTAAATGGTTTTCTCTTTCCTTTCTTTGCTCTTTTGTAATTCCTCTTCTCTCGTTCTTCCCGAGTTCAAACCTTTTTAGCATTTAGACATTTGTTTGCTCTTTTTTCATTCAGAAAAAACGACGGAATGTACTCTTTGGCACCCATAATTTCATTCAAATCGCATTATGTACCAATAAGTTAGGATCTTCATTTGTGCTGCAACAATGCATTTCAGGAAGTGGAAAACATGTTCTGGTGAGTTGCTTTTCTTAAAATGTTTCTTCTTTCCTTTTCTTTTGCTCTTTTGTAATTCATCTTTCCTTTCTTCTTCCGAGTTTATACCTTTTAGCATTTAGACAATTATGGTTCTTCATTCGTACAGTGCGAATGAAAATAGACTTGGTACATAATTGTCTATTAATGCAAGATAAAGTACTCAATACAGAGGAAATGAGTGATTGCAACAGGCATTACAGAAGGTAAATGAACCATTATCATGAGACTTGCACTAGAACATTGGTTTCATTTTCCTTTCTCTGCTCATTTGGTAATTCCTCTTCCTTCTTCTTCCCGAGTCTTTATACCTTTTTGCATTTAGACAATTATTTTCTTTTTTCTTCAGATCAAGACAATGTACTCTGGCACCCATATTGTCATTCGAATGCAGCATGTACCAATACAGTAGGATCTTTTCTTGTGCATGCAACAGCGATTTACAGGAAATGAACCACATGTTCTTGGTGAGTTGCTTTGCTTGAATGTTTCTTTTTCCTTTCTCTGCTATTTTGTAATATCCTTCTCTCTTCTTTTCCAGAGCTTTAAACCTTTTTCATTTAGACACTTATTTCTTTTTTTTCATTCACGACAACGACGAATGTTACTCTTGGCACCATAATTGTCATTCGAATGCGCATGTACCAATACAGTAGGATCTTTCACTTTGCTTGCAACAGCGGATTACAGGAAATGGAACCACATGTTCTGGTGAGTTGCTTTGCTTGAATGTTTCTTTTCCTTTTCTCTGCTATTTGTAATTCCTCTTCTCCTTCTTCTTCCCGAGTTTTAACTTTTTGCATTTTAGACATTATTTTTCTTTTTTCATTCAGACAACGACGAATGTACTCTGGCACCCAATTCGTATTCCAAATGCATTATACCAAACACAGTAGGATCATTCACTTGTGCTTGCACAGCGGATTTACAGGAATGGAGCCACATGTTCTGGTTAGTGCTCTTAAATGTTTTTTTCCTTTCTTTGCTCTTTTGTAATTCTCTTCCTTCTTCTTCCCAGTTTTCAAACCCTTTTACATTTAACATTTTTTTTCTTTTTCATTCAGACAACGACGAATGTACTCTTGGCACCCATAATTGCATTCAAATGCATTGTATTACCAATACAGTAGATCTTTCATGTGCTTGCAACATGGATTACAATGGAACAACATGTTCTGGTGAGTTGCTTTTCTTAAAATGTTTTCTTTCCTTTCTTTTGCTCTTTTGTAATTTCATCTTCCCTCTTCTTCCCGAGTTTTATCCTTTTTGATTTAGACAATATTTTCTTTTTTCATTCAACAACGACGAATGTACTCTTGCACCCATAATTGTCATTCAATGCAGCATGTACCAACACAGTAGGATCTTCCTTGTGCTTGCACGCGGATTTACAGAATGGACCACAATGCTTGAGTGCTTTGCTGAAATGTTTCTTTTTCTTTTCTCTTTTTGTAATTCCTCTTTCTTCTTTCTTCCGATTAACCTTTTTTGCATATTAGACACTTTTTTCTTTTTCTTCAGACAACGACGAATTTACTCTGGCACCCATAATTGTCATTCAATGCAGATGTACCAAACAGTAGGATCATTCACTTGTGCTTGCAACAGCGGATTTACAGGAAATGAACCCATTTCTGGTGTTTGCTTTGCTTGAAATGTTTCTTTTTCCTTCTCTTGCTATTGTAATTCCTCTTCTCTTCTTTCCCGAGTTTAAACCTTTTTTGCATTTAGACACTTATTTTCTTTTTTCTTTCAGACAACGACGAATTACTCTTGCACCCATAATGTCATTCAATGCACATGTACCAATACAGTAGGATCTTTCATTGTGCTTGCAACAGGATTTACAGGAAATGGAAAACATGTTCTGGTGAGTTGCTTTGCTTAAATGTTTCTTTTTTATCTTCTTTTTCTTTGTAATTCCTCTTCCCTTCTTCACGAGTTTCATCCTTTTTACATTTAACTTATTTCTTTTTCATTCAGACAACGACGAATTGATACTCTTGGACCCATAAATTGTCATTCAATGCAATGTACCAACACAGTAGATCTTTTCTTTGTGCTTGCACAGTGATTTACAGGAAATGGAACATGTTATGGTGAGTTGTCTTGCCTTAAATAGATTTTTCTTTTCTTCTTCTTGCTATTTTGTAATCCTCTTCCTCTCCTTCTTCAATCGTTTTATACTTCTTTGATTTTAACATTTTTTTTTCTTTTCATTGCTCAAACGAGAAGAAATTACTTTCACCATAATTGTCATTACAATTGCAGATGTACCTCAAGTAGATCTTCACTTTGCTTGCACAGCGGATTTAAGGAGTGCACACATGTTTGTGATTGCTTTGCTTCAAAATGTTTCCTTTTCTCTTTGCCTTTGTGTATTCCTCTTCCCTTCTTTTTCCCGGTTATATCACGTTTTTTGCATTTTAGAAAATATTTTTCTCTTTTCATTCAGACAACACGAATGTATTCTAGGCACCTCATATTGTCATTCAAATGCTTACATGTCCAATACCAAGGATCTTATCACTTTGCTCTGCAAAGCGGATTTACAGGAGTGGAGCCCACATGTTTCTGTGAGTTGCTTTGCTTAAAATGCTTCTTTTTCCTTCTTCTGCTCTTTTGTAATTCCTCTTTCCCTCCTCTTCCCGAGTTATTTACTTTTTTTGCATTTAGACACTTATTTTTCTTTTTTCATTCAGACAACGACGAATGTACTCTTGGCACCCATAATTGTCATTCAAATGCATTATGTACCAACACAGTAGGATCTTTCACTTGTGCTTGCAAGAATGGATTTACAGGAAGTGGAACAACATGTTCTGGTAAGTTGCTTTGCTTCAAATGTTTCCTTTTCCTTCCTTTGCTCTTTTGTAATTCCTCTTCCCTTCTTCTTTCCGAGTTATATACCTTTTTTGCATTTACACACTTATTTTTCTCTTTTCATTCAGACAACGACGAATGTACTCTTGGCACCCATAATTGTCATTCAAATGCAACATGTTCCAACACAAAAGGCTCTTTCTCTTGTGCTTGCAACAGTGGATTTACAGGAAGTGGAACCACATGTTCTGGTGAGTTGCTTTGCTTCAAATGTTTCCTTTTCCTTCCTTTGCTCTTTTGTAATTCCTCTTCCTTTCTTCTTTCCAAGTTTTATACCTTTTTTGCATTTAGACAATAATTTTTCTCTTTTCATTCAGACAACGACGAATGTACTCTTGGCACCCATAATTGTCATTCAAATGCATTATGTACCAACACAGTAGGATCATTCACTTGTGCTTGCAACAGTGGATTTACAGGAAGTGGGACCACATGTGCTGGTGAGTTGCTTTGCTTAAAATGCTTTTTTTTCCTTCTTTTGCTCTTTTGAAATTCCTCTTCCCTTCCTCTTCCCGAGTTTTATACCTTTTTAGCATTTAGACATTTCTTTTTCGTTTTTCATTCAGACAACGACGAATGTACTCTTGGCACCCATAATTGTCATTCAAATGCAGCATGTACCAACACAGTAGGATCATTCACTTGTGCTTGCAACAGCGGATTTACAGGAAGTGGAACAACATGTTCTGGTGATTTGCTTTGCTTGAAATGTTTCCTTTTTCTTCCTTTGCTCTTTTGTAATTCCTCTTTCCTTCTTTTTCCCGAGTGTTATACCTTTTTAGCGTTTAGACAATTATTTTTCTTTTTTCATTCAGACAACGACGAATGTACTCTTGGCACCCATAATTGTCATTCAAATGCATTATGTACCAATACAGTAGGATCTTTCATTTGTGCTTGCAACAGTGGATTTACAGGAAGTGGAACAACATGTTCTGGTGAGTTGCTTTGCTTAAAATGTTTCTTTTTGTTCTTTTCTTTTTATTTAGCAATTCCACTTCCCCCCTTCTTCACGAGTTTCATCCCTTTTTGAATTTTGACACTTACTTTCTTTTTTCATTCAGACAACGACGAATGTACTCTTGGCACCCATAATTGTCATTCAAATGCATTATGTACCAACACAGTAGGATCTTTCATTTGTGCTTGCAACAGTGGATTTACAGGAAGTGGAACCACATGTTCTGGTGAGTTGCTTTGCTTAAAGGCATTGAGTCATGGTAGATTGGCCTTTTCTATAGGGGGTAATTTGGATTCGGCTTGATCGCTGCTGTTTCATGTGATATTTGCATCCGTTGTTGACAATTTGCTTTTGATGAAAATTGTTTTGACAATCAATACGAGGTGAGTTCATGTGACTAGTTCCAGGTCAACCAATAGCATTACAGTGATGAAAACCATGACTCAGCGGAATTTGGCAGTTAGGGAATACCCAATCCATTTTTCCATGACTCAATTCCTTCAAAATATTTTTCTTGTCTTTTTATCTAGCAATGCCTCTTCCCTACTTCTTCGCGAGGTTTTATCCTTTTTTATCATTTTAAATGGCTTTGAAAAAAGCAAACATTATTTATCATTTTCACACTATTTCTCTTTTTTCATTCAGACAACGATGAATGTACTCTTGGAACTCATAATTGTCACTCCAATGCAACATGTAGCAATACAGTAGGCTCTTTCACTTGTGCTTGCAACAGTGGATTTACAGGAAGTGGAACCACATGTTCTGGTCAGTTGCTTCGTTGAACGGATTTCTTTTTTTCCTTTTTTTAAAAATGCTTTTGCGCTACCGGCACGCTTTGCTACTATATTTGATAAGACCGGTTCAATATAGCACTGCACGAAAATACAAATCGCAGTTATTTACTCAAGACGACTGCCGCTAAGCATGCCGGTTGCTCAAGAGCCCCTAATTTATTTTTACTGGTTATCTTTGAATTATTATGCTTGTTTTATATTTGCTTAGGAATCGTAATTCTTCTTTAAGATATCAATGAATTAAATGAGTCGTTGAATTTCGGAAATTCGGACTCGAAAGCTTCTTTTCTGAGAGGTGGTTGCCTGAAAAGAGTTGATTTCACAGTCAATTTTTTTAATTTCAAAGAAATAGGTCTTAAACCACACCTTCATGTTGTCAAAACAGCGATCCATCCATTTAGAAAGTGTTTTCGCAACTAAGAGGTCTACACAGGACATGTAAATGCTTCAACTGCAGTGGTAAAGGCATTTTGATAAGAGAACTGTGAGCGATTCGCCAAAAACAAACTTATTCAAGAGGCAGATATTAATTTGGTAATGTATTTTAAATTCTTTGATACTAAATTACTTTTCTAGATTTCAACGAATGTCCTGTTGGAACCCATAACTGTCACTCAAATGCAACTTGTACAAACACCAAAGGCTCTTTCACCTGTGCCTGTAAGAGTGGATTTACAGGAGACGGAACAACGTGTTCTGGTGAGTTTCCTTATCGAATTTGTTTCCTGTCTTTTCCGGTTTATAAGAAAAATGAACCTATCACCAATTTTTTGTAATTTTTATGCCTACTAAACCTTTATTTACCACCCTGAATTTTTTTATTAAGACAACAATGAATGTGTACTTGGAACCCATAATTGTCATTCAAATGCAACATGTACCAACACAGAAGGCTCTTTCACTTGTGCTTGCAACAATGGATTCACAGGAAGTGGAACCACATGTTCTGGTAAGTTGATTGGTATCAATTTTTTGTATTTAGTTAATTTGACATTGACCTTGTTTTGGTTCCTCAGGTCAGTCGGAAAAACGATCATATGCTTGTTAGGTTTGCCAAGACGGTGCTTCTTGCGTAAAGAAAATATTACAGAAGGAGCTCAAGGCTTACTATAGACCCTTCAATTCAAGAATTAAAAGGTTTCTCAATTTAATGTGCATCTTTTTCAAAGTTTCTAGATTGAAGGATGATCAGGCTCCGCCAATAGGCCGAAAGGTGTCGCTATCATATTTACTAGCCTAAAATTTTCGATCTCTACTCTACCGCTTTATTCACGGTAGAATGTCAGACGAAATGTGTAGGCATCTATTAAAAATGTTTGCCTTATTGAAAGCCATTTCATGATCCTAAACCACTAAACAGTTTGTTTTTTTTTCTTTTCCACTTCACTGTCACTTTCCCTATAAAGCATTTACTTAGATATTTTATTTTTTTATTAAGACAACAATGAATGCACACTTGGAACCCATAATTGTCACTCAAATGCAACATGTACCAACACAGTAGGCTCTTTCACTTGTGCTTGCAACAGTGGATTTACCGGAAGTGGAACCACATGTTCTGGTAAGTTGCCCGATTGAATAAATTTATTTTACTCCTATTTCTTGTTAACATGTTTTTCCTGCTTTTCTCTAGAATTATTATCCCTGTTTGATATTTGCTTAAGAATCTTATTTCTTTTTTAAGATATCAATGAATGTACACTTGGAACCCATAACTGTCACGCCAATGCAACCTGTAGCAATACCGAAGGATCCTTTGTGTGTGCTTGCAAGAGTGGATTTACAGGAAACGGAGTCTCCTGTTCTGGTAGGTGTCCTTCATAAATCGAATTCTAAGTTTTTCAGGAATATTCAATGGGCTCTAACAATAGGGCGTGGATGGATGGTAGTATTTCCTAATCTGCCATGTAGTCAATAAAAGTAACTGATTTTATTTGAAAGATTATTTGAAGTGCCTCCTGATCATGCAAAATATTTTGAAACAAAAGTGTTGAACGTTTTTTGACGATTTTCAGGTGATCTCTATCATTTACACGCATCATATATTAGATTTTCCTGATTAGCATCCTTTATAAAGAATTCCTGTCACTATCTGTTTTGCTGAAAAATTCAGATGTAGTAATTCCTGAACATGTAAAAACAAACTAAGGAATATTTTAAGGGCAGTTGATAATATTTACAGACAAAATCTCCAGAATGGTTATGTTCGTCAGTAAAGAACTTTTGACATCACTTGCTAGGTCTTATCAGGAATACAGATACTGTTTTGAAGACATTATTAAATTGCAATAGAATTGAAAGGTTACATTTGAAAATAATTAAATCTGGAATGGATTACATCAGTTTAAGACTTGCAATGAGAAGCAGCGAAGGTATTTAAGAAATTTAAAACAAGTCAATGATTGAATGAGTCGTTGAATTTCGGAAACTCGGACTTAAAAGCTTGTTTTTCGAGAGAAGGTTGCCTAACAGAGTTGCTTTCACAGTCAATTTTTTTAAATTTCAAAGTAATAGAATGAACTTGCCTAAAGAACTTAAGCCACGTCCTCATGCTATCAAAGCAGTGGTCCATTCATTTAGAAAATTTTTGCAACTTAGAGGTCGACACAGGACATGGTAAATGCTTCAACTGCAGTGTTAAAGGCATTTTGATAAGAGAACTGTGAGCGATTCGCCAAAAACAAACTTATTCAAGAGGCAGATATTAATTTGGTAATCTATTTTCAGTTCTTCACTGCTGAATAATTTTTCTAGATTTCAACGAATGTCCTGTTGGAACCCATAACTGTCACTCAAATGCAACTTGTACAAACACCAAAGGCTCTTTCACCTGTGCCTGTAAGAGTGGATTTACAGGAGACGGAACAACGTGTTCTGGTGAGTTTCCTTGTCGAATTTGTTTCCTCTCTTTTCCTGTTTATAAGAAAAATGAACCTATCACTAATTTTTTTGTAATTTTTATTCCTATTAAACCTTTATTTACCGCTCTGAATTTTTTTATTAAGACAACAATGAATGTGTACTTGGAACCCATAATTGTCATTCAAATGCAACATGTACCAACACAGAAGGCTCTTTCACTTGTGCTTGCAACAATGGATTCACAGGAAGTGGAACCACATGTTCTGGTAATTGCTCTTTTTGAATGTGTTTCCTGTTCCAATCCAATTTATTATAAAATCGATTTTGTCTCCCTCTCTTTATGACTTTATTCCACATTTGTTTTATTCCACATTTGTTTACCTTTATTCAACATTTATACACGTATTCGACCTTCTTTCTTAAGATAACAATGAATGTACACTCGGAACCCATAATTGTCACTCAAATGCAACATGTACCAACACAGTAGGCTCTTTCACTTGTGCTTGCAAGAATGGATTCACTGGAAGTGGAACCACATGTTCTGGTACGTTGCTTTGCCTTAAATGCTCCTTGTTCTCTTCTTTTTCATTTTCAATTCCTCTTCTCTTATTCTTCACAAGTTTTATCCCTATTTAGCATTTGCACCCTAATTTCTCATTTTTCTTTCAGACAACGACGAATGTACTCTTGGCAGCCATAATTGTCACTCAAATGCAACATGTACCAATACAGTAGGATCTTTTACTTGTGCTTGCAACAGTGGATTTACAGGAAGTGGAACCACATGTTCTGGTGAGTTGCTTTGCTCAAAATGTTTCTTTTTCCTTTCTTTGCTTGTTTGCAATTCCACTTCCCCCCTTTTTCACGAGATTTATCCCTTCTTTGCATTTAGACACTAATCTTTTATTTTTCATTCAGACAACGACGAATGTACTCTTGGCACCCATAATTGTCATTCAAATGCATTATGTACCAATACAGTAGGATCTTTCACTTGTGCTTGCAACAATGGTTTTACAGGAAGTGGAACCACATGTTCTGGTAAGCTGCCTTATCAAATGCATTGCTTATTTTCTTCATTATTATAAAAAATGCACCTTTCCCCTCTTTTTTAAATACTTTATATTTCTCTATTATTTATTTATGAATCCCATTTATTTTCTATATTAAGACAACAATGAATGTACACTTGGAACACATAATTGTCACTTGAGTGCGACATGCACGAACACAGAAGGATCTTTCACTTGTGCTTGCAACAGTGGATTTACAGGAAGTGGAACCACATGTTCTGGTAATTTTTTTAAAGGATTTCTTTTTCTCCTAGTTCTTGTAAAATGCTTTTGCGCTCCGCTTTGCAACTGTCTTTTATAAGATCGGCCTACTATCGTACTGCATGAAACTACAAAACGTAATGATTTTCTCAAGAGAAGTGCTGTTAAGCAACTCGGTTTCGCAAGAGCCTTTAACATATTTCTCCTGCTCATCTACAGAATTATCATGCCTGTTAGATATTTGCTTAAGAATCCTATTTTCTCTTTAAGATATCAATGAATGTACACTTGGAGCCCATAACTGTCACGCCAATGCAACCTGTAGCAATACCGCAGGATCCTTTGTGTGTGCTTGCAAGAGTGGTTTTACAGGAAACGGAGTCTCCTGTTCTGGTAGGTTTCCTTCATATTTTTCCTAGCTTTAACTCTGATGGCAACGTCTGTGTAGATCGTCAGCATTTCTTGAAACATATCGACAAATAATATTTGCTGATCATCTGCACATAGACCAATCATAATTAGGAAAACTATGGAAAACTTGCCAAACAGAACGGCAGCATAAATAAGGCAGCAGAAAAATTTCCCACCTGTTTTAAGTCGTTTAATGGTAGCCCTTTTTTTCTAGATAATAACGAATGTCCTGTTGGAACCCATAATTGTCACTCAAATGCAACTTGTACCAACACGAAAGGCTCTTTCACCTGTGCTTGCAACAGTGGATTTACAGGAAATGGAACCACGTGTTCTGGTATGTTGCTTTTTGGATTGTGCTACTAGTTGTTTCCATGTATTGTTTTTTGGTCAATTTGTGCTTCCTGCTCTTGTTTATAATCATTGCTATGGAACTGTTACTTATGCATCTGATTTGCTCTATGTAGACAACAATGAATGTACACTTGGAACCCATAATTGTCATTCCAAAGCAACATGTACCAACACAGATGGCTCGTTCGCCTGTGCTTGTGACAGTGGATTTACAGGAACTGGAATAAAGTGCTCCGGTAAAGCTGAAATTATTTTTTTCTGAAATTATGAAATTATCATGTACCTCTTCGGCCTCTTTTTTCGTTTCTTGCTTTTATATCATTTCCATGTTTGATATGATAATTCTAATATCTATCTTATCTAGATATTGATGAATGTGCACTTGGAACACACAACTGCCACTCAGGGGCAACATGTACTAACACAGACGGATCATTTACTTGTGCTTGCAAACCAGGTTACAATGGAAATGGATTGACATGTATAGGTAAATATGTATTCATTATGTTTTTTCCTTTTCATTTTGAAAAGACAATGCCTGGTTATTTGTTTGTTGAAGATAAAGAATGCCATTAGCAGTATCTCTTAAAGCAATATTTTACTCTAGATAAAAACGAATGTACTCTTGGAACCCATAATTGTCACTCAAATGCAACATGTTCCAACACAGAAGGGTCTTTCACCTGTGCTTGTAAGAGCGGCTTTACAGGAAGTGGAACTACATGTTCTGGTAAGTTGACTTGTTGAATTATTTGTTGTTCGCCTTAATTTAATCAAAAATTTTGCTCTTTCTGCTCCATTATGCCTGTCTATCATCTACTTAACGGGTGTTGTTTTGTTTTATTAAGACAACAATGAATGTACACTTGGAACCCATAATTGTCACACAAACGGCCTATGTGCAAATACCCAAGGCTCCTTCGCCTGCGCTTGCAAGAGCGGATTCACTGGAAATGGAACGTCTTGTTTTGGTTAGTTGTGTTACGTTATTTCCTGTCATTTTTTTACGAACGAAGCAACTGGAATTTTATGGTATCTTACTAAAGGGTTTTGCCTTCAATTTGCTAGGTTATGTTGCTAATCTTTCTCGTTTTTCTTCAATTTAGATAGCGACGAATGTACGCTGGGGACGCACAACTGCCACGTGCTAGCAAACTGTCAAAATACAGCTGGCTCATTCACTTGTAGTTGCAAACCTGGCTACGGAGGAACCGGCAAGATATGCGCAGGTATGGCTTTTTGTGTCATATCATCCCTTCGTTTTTGTTACCAATATTTCAAGCATTTGTTTATTTTTAATCACTATTGTTATCTCTCCTCTTTTGCTCATGATAAAAATGCCTAATTTAACTCTCTATGAATTATCAACTTTCAATGTTGATGTGGTGATTATCTGTCTTTACTCTTTACTTACTTTTAGATATTGATGAGTGTGTGGCCAATCTGCATAACTGTGATGCAAGCGCAAAATGCACCAATTTCGCAGGCACCTTCTCGTGTGTTTGCAAAACTGGTTTTTCAGGAAATGGAACGGCCTGTACTGGTGAGATATATTATTTTATAGATAGCCTTTTTAGACCGTCTTGATCAATTACCCAAATAATATTTTCCTTTTGTACTTTCTATAAATTTTTATGCGTTTCATTTTTGTATCTTTTAGATATAAACGAATGTACTTCAGGGACGCATAACTGTGATGCAAATGCTGCATGTACCAACACCGCGGGATCGTTCTCGTGTGCTTGCAATAGTGGTTATGTAGGAAGTGGAACGAAATGTGTTGGTAAGATATGTTTATATATTTGAGAGCATATACGCAATTTTATTGAAAGCATCTTGTCAAAGATGTTCAAATACTGAGCCTTGTCAATCAACAATGGAATTTGCACCTAGTATTTTTTTCATCTTTTAAACAACCTGTCATTTCACACAATAAAGTGGTGTGATTTTAATTATTTTTCAATACATTTAGAAGTGATTTACCAGAGCCTCCACCTAATTGCAAAAGATTTTGTAGATAAATCAAAGAGATCCTGATATTGTTACAGTATTCTTACCTAAACCAAATGTACACTTAATCATTTTTCATCTAAGCCTCGGATTTGTAATTTGAGTAAAACTTTGGTTTCTTCGCTATGGCATTGATTCTCTAAGTAAAATATTATGATTGTTCATCTGCAAAGTACTTTCATATTTTTCATCGCTGAGTTTTTGTACCTGTCTAAGTCATTTTATTTTTTTCCAGCTGAAACGGTTGTTAAAGGTATGTATCATCTTTCTTTGCTATTGAATCTATGATTTGTTTTTATGAAAATTCAGCATTATGTTGAACTCTAGTGCGAGGATGGCTCAGTTGTTAGAGGCGCTGACTACAGACCCAAGGGTCCATGGTTCAAGTCCCTGTCATGACCGAACTTTCACCAAAAGTGGGGAGAGTCGGCAGCTCTCTGTAATTCCAGGCGTAGGAATCACGTGGTGTGGTCGCATCAAGAGGAACGACCAGGCCATTTCTCGATAAGCAAAACCTACTCAGTATCTTAAAAACTACCTCAGGATGCTATTTAGAAACAAATACAAAATAATAAAATATTAAACGGGGTAGCTTCATCATCTTTTAACTGCCATTGTGGTATCCTGTTGTTTGTACCAACATGTTACATGACTAGCTTATAATGGCATGTGCCAGACATTCTAATGGTAGACTGCTTGTGGATCGTATTATAATTCCTTTTTATACATTATAATGATCATTTTCATGGGTGATCCTGTATCGTTCCAAAACTTTATGCCGTCGATTCGTTCTTTTTCCAGCAAAATCACAACTAAAAGCTTTTGCGACCATACCGAATCCGGTTCTTAATGGAAGGATTATCAACACGACTGACGATAAAGTGAAGAACGATCTTGCCGATCCATCATCAGCTCTTTACAAGGAACTTAACAATACCCTTACGCTTGAAGTACGTTGCACACAAAACACATTCTATAATATGATATGTAACGATGATATCTAATCTCAAAAAATGCTTTCTGGAAACGTTTTGAATTTTATGGTAATAACCTTACAAAATCGAAAGAGCCTGCCTATCTGCTTATAATATTAAAGCAATAAAAACAATTTAATGAGAATATAACGTATATATTCGATTGTTCTTCAATTGAGCTAATTTTCTTGCATTTTTCTTTTTTAAAGCTAAACAGGAAAATAAAGGCAAAAAGGAATGACGTCAAGTCTGTAACTGTTAACGGTTTTGTGTAAGTCCAACTTCTACGTTTCTCCATATCAACAACTGATAAAAGGCTTTTCCACAACTTTTAAGTACAGTTAGCAAAGTTAGTTTCATAAAAATTCGTTGTAACAGCTAGATTTTAGCTTAATTCAACCATGATCACGATCTATAACTGAATACCTTTTGCAGCTCTGTTTTTGTTACTAAGAATATAAAAAAGAACAAATTTTCGACCTCCTGATGACATAGCTCAGAAAACGTACGATGCTTTAAAACGTAAATCTTAGAATTGGCCCCATCCCCCACCCTCTTCGAAAAAGCCCGCATCTTATTTTCTGAATTAATAGGCCCCCGGGATGCACATTCGATGATGGGTATTGGCAAAAGGCAATGTTTTCTAGAATTAATATCTTGTTTTTTCTCTCAGAGAAGAATAGATATTCGAATTTCACATTGATTTCGGCTTGTTAGTTATGAGTTTTTATTTAAGTGTCACCCTTTCAACTAATTTTTTTCAACAGGATTGGCAGCTTGATCATTAACTTCACGATAGAATTTTCAACAACACCGACAGAGACTCCTGCAGAGATAGAAAAATCCATCTCTGATGCGGTCAATGGAACACTAGGAGGAGCCTCTGTAGATAAGGTTTTCGTTCAAGGTAAATAGAAAGGATTTTACCTCACATAAAGATCGTGTTTCTTTTTCAGTTTCTTGTTTCATTCGATTGCTTTCCGGTTAGGAAGAGTGTTAGATAATAGCATTAGATAATAGCATTTGGAATTTATGGTATGTGGCTCCAAGGATTTTGAGACCTATCAAATAAAAAAATTCTGCAGGATGGCGATATTGCCTAAAATAGTTTCGCAAATATTGGAAAAAAACACTAATAAGGATTTTCAAGGGCAGTGTATTCTTTGCTGTAATCTTTGCTGAAATACCTAAAATTTAATTACGTTTCATCTAATTTTAACATGCTTAACAATTTTTTCTGTCATTATTTATCAAATTTTCTTGCAAGCTTGTTCCCAGGTTCCGATATACCTTGCAGCAATGGAGTGATGGCTATGTTTCTGTTCAACTGTTAATTTTCATAATAATGGATTTTCAAGACTTTTCAGGAAATGACAAAGGACATTTTTGGCCTAGCACGGTTCAGCTGTAAAGTAGCAATTGCAAATCAGTTCCTTATTGACGAAATTATGCTCAATCTTCTTACCTGCAGATCAAAACGAATGTGACCTCGGAACACACCAATGCCACACAAATGCAAATTGTAAAAACACCTACGGCTCTTACACTTGCGCCTGCAAGTCGGGATACACAGGCAATGGCTTTTCTTGCACAAAGGAAGACAAGGGTAGGCAGCATTTTGTCAAACTACAAGTACCCACCAATGAAACTTAAAATCAAATTTATAGAACAATATTTTGTTAATGATATTAATTGCACAAATGCAAAGCTTTTTCATGCTGTTTGCCTATCATTTATTATTTCAAATATGGATCATTTCAATTCTCTAAATTTAACAAGAGATCTCAGTTCAACGCTTTTTATTTTCTTTGGACTTTTTAAATTTTTGTCCAGTCTTCGCCAATATGAAGTGCAAATTTCATTTTTTTTCTTGCAGACTACAAGGTTTTGGCCATTGTTTTGTCCGTGGTTCTGCTCTTCTTACTCCTCTTGATCTTCCTGATCATAATCATTGTCAGAAGACGAAGAAATAATAAGGCAGGGTAGGTTTCTTTATCAATCTATTTGATATTTAATTTCTGAACAAAATTCCGAAGTATTCGGCCATGAGAGGAACTTCACAAGTTAAGTGTGTACAAAATGAAAAATGGCTTATTCATACTTAGAGGAACAGCTTCGATTGCTACTTTTAAATGGTGTTTTTATATTGTTTGTTAATATTTAAATGGAATCAAGCTAAAATATTGCTAGAAATATATTCATAACTTATAGGCATACGGCAAATTCACCATCCAAAAGGAACACCAAGAGAAGGACAAAATTACAGAGGATTTAGACCTTGCCTTTTTAAGAATTCGAAATGTATCCATCGGTTTTAGTATAGGATCATAGGATACAAACTTGTCAAAATTGTGCAAATTTTAAACAAGCACCCAGAAATGGTCATTCCAGCCTGCTTTAGGGAAAAATTGTTTTTTTCTTTATGGAAACAGTTCGGTGCTAAGAGAGCCCTGTAAATATTTAGAAATGCCTTGGATTTAGAAATGCCAACTAGAGAGAGGAAAAGCAGATTAGTTTTTGCTAGAAAGTCTCGTTTTGTCCACACTTTGAAGTCATTTCCTATTTATTCAAAAATTGTTACGAGGATGGCTAAATGGTTAGCGTCGCTGACTATAGATCAAAAGAACTGTGGTTCGGGACTTTATACAGCTTTCACCAAGAGTGTGACAAGTTGCCAGCTCTCTATGATTCTAGGCACGGAAATAATCAAAAGAAGGACCAGGATACTGCTCGATAAGCATAGCACCTCGGGGTGCTAAAAAACTCTTTTCGGGTGCTGAATAAAAACAAATACAAATACTTCATTCCTACCAATCAAAGACGTTTGGTTATTTGTGAATTTTTGTACCGAAATTATATTTAATTTGTAGGCCCAACCTCTCCAAGTCTATCAGGTAGCATGTTCTCACAAGAATCAGGCAAAAAATCATTTCCGGATTGGGAACAGGTCTTTGCAAATAATGCCCATATGAAATTATAGAATTATAGGCAAGAACATATGAAATGCTCATATGAAATGGAAATTAAAGATAAGTTAGCATTCGCTTCAAAATCCTAAGTTACTGGGCTCTCAACAAAATTACTGGCCTACAAAGGCCATTTTCTATTTAGGTGTATTAAACTGCCACGCCTTTGGTGTTGTACAATATTTCGTTTTAAAGAAATGGTTTTGCTTATAATAAGCTTTCTATTTTCTTCCAGGGAGCCAGAATTTCCACCTCCGAGAGCTGAGATCACCTTTGAGAGAAACAAAACCATGCGAGCTCAGGCTGCACCTGAAGGTGCCAATCCGCCAATAACGGGTAAAGAGCAACTCGGCCGAGTTTCCCCATCTTACTTTTACGAAATTTCAGAATAAATAGAATTTTCTCTTATTCAAAGAAAATAACAAACAACTGTAAATTATCAGCTAATTTTTTTATTTTTTTTAGATTTTGTATTGTGAACAATGTACCTTGCAATATTTTTATATAATTTTGCTACCTGTAATTGAATTTTGCTAAATGTTTGCACTTTTGACGAAGCAGTATTAATACTGGAATTTTTGCTATTTAGTGTTGTTTTAGGTTTTTTGCCTAACAATTTTCATGAACATACCATTCATAATTAATGCAATAATCAGTTTTTTAGCCTTTTTTGTAATTTCGTATGTAGATTTTGCAGATAATTTTACAAAACTAACGAATACTGTAGATGCACTATACGTGAGCTCCATGAAAACTTTCCCTGGGTCAGATAAAGCCCAATAGATTCAGTTGGAGTTTGAAACAACAATAAAACATCTTATGATATAGTATCGTTGCTTAACGAGCATGTTTTCAGGTTTTTCTAGTCAATTGAGCACTAGCATATATGATATGGAAGTTGTAAACACCAACATTGACAAGGAATATAGTCACACACTGTTATTTGTCTAAAATGGCCTGTACCCAACCGTTTGAAGAATTACATCTGTATGATTTACTTGAAATGCTGACCTCACCCAAGAAGATTGAACTCATCAATTTTTTGGACACAATCAATCAATAAATTTGAGCTTAAGTTAGTTCTACACTAAAGATGAATTAACAATTAACGGTACTTATTATGTTGCCTTAGCGTTTTTAAATGTTTCTGTAACTCAATTTTTAGCCTATAAATTGCTTACTTTTTTATAAATATGAATGCATTATAATTTTTTGTATTTTCCCTTTTTGTGTCTCCTTGCTGATAAGATCAAAGAAAGCCTTTCCTCTTGGCAAGTTTAATCAATTTGTAATTTACAGTGCGATTTCGTACTGAAAGACATTTTCTACTGTCAAACATAAACCAGTGGTCAGAAAAGTTTGGTCTTCAAAAAGTATGCGCAATAGAACACCCAGATTCAAAACGTACATAGCACCGCCCCCGTAAAAACTGGTAGCCTTTTAATGTATTTAAACATTTAAAGGAAATTTTTACACGCTGTGTTTTCCCGCTGCTGTAATTTTCTACAGCAACCCTTTGGTTAAACAGCCATTTACTATATCCTCACTACCGCCAGATTCCTGAGCAACATCAAGCGCTTAATTAGATTTGCTCAAGTTGCAATCTTTAATCATTCCATTATTGTGCTTTCTTTCTACCTTTGCCAGTCAAGGGTGAACGTCCCGCTTTCAACACCATCTCGTTCATCCGATGACTAGCCTACCTTCGCTATTTCTTCGCCATAAAATGCCATAAAGTTTAGTTTAATTTGTCAAAAACTAGACAAAACATGGCAAAGGAAATGCCTTAGATTAAAAAGTTTGACTTCCGCTCAAAATAATTTTAGTGCAAGAATGTAAGAAAAGTTGAGGTCAAGTCCTTAGCTGATTTTCAAAGAATTTTTATCATTTTTTGATGACGTCATCCAAAACAAGTAACCTCCGGTGATTACTTTTTTGATCGGTGATGACTTTGATTTGAAAACCTCAATGATCGATTTAGTTTGAATGTGAAATATAATTTGAGGCTAGACAGTTTGCTAGTGCTTTCTACAAAATTCCCTGTCTATGGGCATTCGTAAGGATAAAAACGAAGAAAATGAAGATTGGAAGGGAATTACAAGGAAAATAAAGAATTATTAAAGAATTTCAAGAATATAGTACAAAATCTTATAGATTTTTCTTGCCCATTTATTCTGGCTTGGAAATATATGTTTATGTACCGAAGACACAACACAGGAAGTATATTGGGTTGGATTTAATTGAATTATCCTACTGGTCATTCAGGGCGTCATTGATATGTACATACGCGATTTTTTTATATTTGGAATAGTCCCCCTCCCTCCGCCTTGTACGCAGTCACACTTCTTTGGTGCCCGTACTTTCTCCTTGAGTTGTCCATTCCTTTTATTGACTCACCCTGCGTTGTTATTGACTGCCGTTCGCAGGGCCGCCGAGAGGCGGCCTAGGCCCTGGGGCAATGTCCCGGTTGGTGCCCTAGAGCCGGATACAAAAAAATTCCGGGACCACGCCCTTTATAAAATGGGAAACGCCCATTATTTCCAAACGTTTGCGCACGTTTGCTTTTTCAGTTGCAAATTGATCATTGATATTGTCGTAATCAATTTGTCTTTCTAGTTCGTGCTCGATCGAAAGAGTCACGAGGCTTGGTAGTCTGTCTTGAGTCATTGTTGAACGTAAGCGGTTCTTTATTAATGCTTGTTTGCTGAAAGGGGCCCCAAAAATATAATATAGCTTAATGCAACGAGTCTAAATGCAAACATAACTCACTTGAACGGGTCATAGATTAAAACAAGATTATATGGGCTACCTAATTTTTTATCAGGGCTCCCTTCCACCAATAAGTACGATTTTGCGAAACTCGGGGAAACTCAGCTTAAAAGATGAATCCGTAAAATATGTGATCTAAGGTTTATTCAGCTTTTCTCGGGGCCCCAGACTCAATAAATAAAGCTGATAGGCCTTAAATTCAAACAAGACTCAGTGTACGGACCCAATGAAATTACTGCCATTTTACTGTCTCAAAAGAAGACATTTTAAAAAAATTTCAGAATTATCTGGGGGCCCTTTCAGGTCGAGGCCCTGGGGCAAATTGCCCCCCCTGCCCCCCCCTCTCTCTGCGCCACTGGACTCGTGATGGTCTCTTGTGACGTGCTACCTCGCGTTTTTATCGTTTCTACTCTACATGATTCTACGTGCAATTCAAAGAAGTCGTTTGGCCTCGTGAGGATTCTGATTTGAAATACTAGGATAAGGTGTGTGGTTTAGAAACACTTTTATTCCCTTGGTTGAACATGGGGTATTTTAGGATTGAGCATAGCGTGGGTATCAATTTGCTTGGTGAAGCCTCATTACAAGAGTGTTGATCGTTCTTCTACGAGATGACTGGATCAGAGCTAAGTATACGATGCCCTAAATGATGACTCGCCAGGTATGAGTTCCTCTACTGTTTACTAAGTATTTTTACCAAGCACTTAAATTAATTGGCCTTCGATATCTTGGTTTCCTTGTAATGCAATTTTATCCAGTGTTGATCAGTGGCGTAGCGTGAGCGCAGAACTTAGGCATGCGGTAACATAAAATATACGGCTATGTTGAATAAATGTAATGGTAATTTCAGTTTCTAAAAACTAACAAGCGGTAATTAATGATAATCGTGAGAGCAAATTTTGATTTTCAAAGTAACAAATCATTTGTACTCTAATTCTAATCAATCAAGGTGTCTATTCTTAGCATCAGAGGCTCCGACAGAGGTTGGAAAGTGAAGGGGGGCCAAGGGAAAAATTATCACCCATGCGAAAGTTTTTGAAAAAAGCTCAATTGTTTAGCAAGACTTTTCAGAATAACTCCTAGTGCTAAAACTGCTTTGCAAAAGATTTTATTCTTATTCATATTCCTCAAGAAAAGGCATCACCTAATGCCCACATAATGTAAGAATTTTTTATGCTATAATGAAGCTGGGGCTCTCCACATTGCGAAATTGTTAACACACTGCAGAGCCTAAGCGAACAGGAGCAACAGTTTCTGCTCATTTTTTACTCTCATAGTTAACTAAGATGAAAATAGTGAGCTGTGAGAGTTGTTAGAATTGAAGATGCTTCCATGTGTAAAGTTTCAGAAAGTTAGTCCCGGCAAATCATCATGTATCTAGCAAGGCTTGCGCTCAGGTCTACCGCATGCCCTGGTCCGTAAATTCTGACTATACTGGCAAGCCTTTTGACTTGAATTACGGAATGCGGATCATGACAAATAGACTCTGACCCCACTTTGACGAAACTTTTTCTCTTTTCAACAGTCACAAAGTAAAGAAAGGAAAATAATTGGATTTGAAATGATGTATCACGCAAAGAGTATTCGCAAAAAGGAGCTAATAGGTAGAAACATGTTGTGGATTATCAAATATTTGGGAAGGCTTGCGCTCAGGCCGACCGCAAGCTCCAGTCCGGAAAATTCTCACTTCTCTCAGAAGCTTCTCTCGAGTTGCACTGAAGCTGCACTGGAGCATCACATGTTTCTCTTATTTTGGACAGGCAAAAAGAGTGATGTGGAGGGGCTTCAGTTTTTCAGATTTTTTGAATTTCATAATTTTTAGCGATCTGTTTACTTGGAAAAATAGCCAATTTGGGGCCAATTGGCCTGTTGGCGCTAGAGTTCACTGCATGCTGCTCATGACAAGAAAGAGAAGCCGTTTATTGCGGAAATTGTTATGCATTGAAAGTGTTGCAAGAATTTTAGAATTTGTCTATAAATTTTTACGCTTGCGCCGCAAGCGTAGCATACATAGACGCTACGCCACTGGTGTTGATACAGATTTGAGCGTTTATTGGAAGTTCGTTGGAAATTTTGTCAGCTGTGGCTCGTACTTACTTTGAACGCACATGAATCTTTAAGCGAACATAAGATTTGATATCTTTATAGATTTTAGGATATATTTTTGATAGGAATGATTTCATGTTTATATGATGCAATTGGTCCAACCAGACCTTGTCGATAGCTATTATTGTATCGAGAATTTGCTTAAAAATTAGTTTTAAGCTCTTTCTCCTTTAGCCTTCAATCAAGATTTTGGTGATACATCATTTATGGTATCAATTTTAGATTTGAGCTAGGTAAATGGCTACTTATATTCAACAATTTGGGTGCTATTTAGAGGACTCAGAATTGGGCCAATATATAAGGCCCTCTTGGCTCATTTTCATTATGAAAGATTTTAGTATATATTCTGCTGTCAATTTATTATGGCGGTGAGAGGCAACGGACAACACTTAAAAAGTCTTTGGCTTGCCCCATTCATGTTATAGGGCCTGTTCACACTACAACATCAAAACCTTATAAATTTGTTGCCTATTGTTTTATCTTTAAAGGCAGCATTAGGCCCTATTCGCACTGCAAGTATGATAATGTTTGTCAAACCCGATATTCTCACGCCAATTAAAAAAACTTTTTCAAGATTGACAAAGTTTGTCAGACTTCTGTTCGCATTAGGCAGTTTTCTGAGATGTTGTATTGTTATCTAACACGTTATCAGGCTGCCATTAAGAAATTGTACCTTTTTAAATTGTGACATGATTTCAAATAGCACCCTGGGCTTTTTTATTGGTGTTAACATAATTCTGGCATGTCCGTCGAGTCACCCGCTGCTTATCATAGATTTTCATCAGATTGTGATGCTCCAGAGCTCTACGACGGAACCTTTGACCAATTAGTCGAAACGTTACAATTTGTCAGATTTCAGATTTTGCTGTTCGCACTCTACCAATTAAACTACTTCCTGACAAACCCTTGCCGCCTTTGAAGATAGAACAATAAGGGATTAGCATTATCAGGTTTCTAGATGCAGTGCGAATAGGGTCTTAGATTTTCAGGAAACTGTATAATTGGTACAGTGCGAAAAGGCAAAATCTGTTTTTCACCAGACAGCCCGATTTTCACTAATCCCTCAAATATTCCGTCGTAGAGCCCCGAAGCAGTACTTTTTATGAAAATCAATGATTAACCAGCATGAAACGGGAAAGACATGCCATCATTTCTGTCAGAGTTGCGATTCTGTGCTTGTTTACACAATTTGAAGAAGAGATGAACCAAAACCGAGCAAACCAATCGCCTCTTTTCTAGAATAAAACTAATAATTTTGGCATAATGTTTAGAATGCTCCAAAATGTGTTCCCTTCAATCATCAAGCTTTTCAATATTCGTTCATCGTATAAAGTGTGTTTTAACCAGG